GTTATCGCAAATTTTCAAATGTATATCGTGATAAATATTTTTGGTCATATCGCCCTGCTCTAATCCTGAGTATAAGATGTCCAGCTCAACTGTTCTACATTTTATGGGATTTAAATGCTCTTTGTAATTTGCTTTAGGATGATCTCCAGTGACAGGTTCAGGTGCCTGTCAGTTTTGTTTATCCGAGTAGATTACGAAGGGTGAAGTCAGTTCAGCTGTTTTTATGAGATTACATGTGCTCCATTTGTAACTTTTACTGCAATTTCAGCTTTTCCCATTGTCATTACAGCGATGAATAACAAATGACACATTGCTAAAAGCTACTTAAATCTGACTGTGATCTTTGGCTCGAAGGCGCACGGGTGTATGTGGGGGGTGGTGCTTGATATTTTGAGGTGGCACGCACACACACACATACAGGTAGAATATTTAGCAGGAAAGCCTTACACACAATCTACAGTTAACATAAAGATTCAGTAGGATGACTACACCCTTGCTTTTCACCTCACAGTTTAATAAGAAAAAAGGGTGGGGCTGGGAATGGAAGGGACAAGATGTGGATGTTTGTGATGTCTATGTGATGGCGAGTGAGCGGGTGTTACCTGCAGTATCTTGTCTCCGGGCTGCAGGGCGGAGGCGGCAGGCCCGTCATGCTGTACCCTAGTAACAAAGATACCCTATAAGTCAAAATGATACACCGTTAGGACAACACAGGGACACGATGGTTTAGAATCTTTGCCTTCTCACTCTCAACTCAATATCCAACCCTCCCAATAAATAAATAAATAAATCACTTTTAAATATATGGCCAGTTCATCAAAGCATTCTCTTTGTTCACAATTTGGAGAGGCATGCAAATACTGCATACATATTTTGACACTGAAACTGTTATGTTGTAAGGCGCTTGCGTTTCCTTCAGATTAGCGGCTCTCTTAAAATTTACAAACACTGGGTGATAAAGCCCTCCCGAAGAGACAAAAAAGATTTAGCAGCTCTTTTTAACGATATAGACTTGGCATATATATAAATATATAAATATATACAGTAAATATTTAAAGATTATGGGAAGAAGAGTAGACGTGGGATGGGTTTCTCACTATGGGAAGGAAGTAGGTCGCGGGCAGGGCAGAAGAAAAATTCATCCCCCAAATTTTCCCTCAATAACCCAAGGCAGAGATTGTAAAAACACCAACATCTTTTCACCGAGAGCTGAAAGATGTTTTTGGACACAGAAAGTGTAGGACAATGCACCTGTATCGACTCAACACGGTTCAACAGGTTGTGTTGAACACACGGATATATTTGCCATAGAGAGGTGACAAATAGGACGTGTAGTAGTGAGAGTGCAGCAGCACCTACATACTACAGTCTGTGAGAGAGAATGCAAGAACAAACACATATATTGCATGTTAAACAATTCCACAGGAGAAGGGTTAGCTCAGTGACTCCACGTGAAAACAGTGACATTTAGTATACAGTGAGCCTCATGCATGCATATACAGATAAAATAGTTTCTTCACCAGGATACAAACTGGTTTCATTTTGCCTGCAAAATGCTGTGTACGACGCCGTTATTTGTGTCCATTCTTTACGGCGTCGGCACCTCGGAACGGGTACGACAGCGTGGCCTTTCTGATCTAATATGAAGCTCACTGTACTTTACAAATAAGTTTAGTAGGGGCTAAAACTGTGTAGCATTAGTCACACCAATTAAACAATTACACACAACAGAGCAGTTGCACACAGAGCTGCAGCATCTTGCAAAATCCTTCCATCTCCAAAAAAAACTTCTACACAATCGGGAACAATATTAGTAATGTTCACACAGGGATTTTAGACTTTTCCTTTAAACATGTGTTTGTATCTCAGCAGCTCAGTGCGCAACAACAGTACATCTAGCAACAGAAGGGACAGAAAATTGGATTTTCGAATGTTCCTGACCCAGATTTAACAAAAAGAAAACATAATAAAATCCGTGTTCTGATCCTTAAAACCTTCAGTCTTCTGTTCTTAAACCGACCCTGAGAAGCTCACAGATCAAAGCCCACATCCCAATCCGGTCGATACATGAACTAATTCCCTGTCTCTGTTTGCCGAGTCCTAATTAGGCAGATGTAAAACTGGCCCAGTGGCTTAGAGGGCCTCAGTGAGTCCTGTAAGTCCAACATCGAGGATATTATCATCATTGCTTCTTTTTAGACACCTGTTGATGACTTCTGATAGATTTTTGAAAGAGGAAAAAATTATCATCAGGTACATTTTGTAAACTTTCAATTATTTGGAGATCTAGCCTGGAGATTATTCTGTTTCTCTGCAAAAAACAGAGACAGATAAAGCTACATTTTTAAAGAAGGTATTTTTTTTCTGTTAGGTAAAGAATTAAAAGCAAATATAGATTTAATTATTTTGCATAGTTGTGTTATATTTGGTGGTTTTGATACCAATTTCCTACTGTACCATCTGTGATTCACCTGGACATGTGGGCATGTCCCAGACCCATCAAAGCACGAGTGCAAATAACAAGCTGTCCACCAGGGGGAGCAACAGCCCTGTGGAATAGCCACAGCTGTAGTAGGCTCTGGGGATCCAAAACCACAGATGTATAATTTAGTAGTCAAGCTGTTTTCAAACATACAGCCCTTGTTAACTCTTTCACCTCGAGTTCATTTGAAAGCTAACACTGGCTTTAACCAAAAATAGCTGCAAACATATCAGACGACAAACAGATTCAAAGAATAATCAAAGGCATCTGCTTCTAGTTTGAGTTGAATTTGGTGACAAATTGACGCCCGAGGTGACTACCGCTGATAAAACTCCGAAGCACCCGTTAATGGCTTCCGCTTGATGCCATTGATGTCACGTGTGAATGAAACAACAGAGCGAGAACAAGGATTCAGAGGAGGATGCTTGTAACAGTTGGGCTTGTATCCCGGCACTGTAACTTTGACAGCAGACAAATATCCTCCAACTGCTCCCTCCATGTGACCCTGTGGGTTAGTTAGATAAAGCAGACATACAGTCTATATAACATGACACAGGGGACATCTAAATCAATATTTCACTTTAGAACATTTCCTTTGAACCATACATGCTGACATGACTCAGTGGGAATCACTGCGAATATCCAGCAGATGAGCAGTGACTGACTGACACGTCCACTTTTGCCATTCGCCGGACGCCACAGTATGTATGGTAAAAGCAAGCGTTCGGTTCTAAAGTGAAACGTCACCAAGTGTTCCACAATGCCCACTGCTCCACACTAACTGGATAGATAACGTAACCTTATCTCGTATTCCTCTGACAAAATGTTCATCTGCATTGACTCCATTTTCTGCCTGTAACGCGGCATTAATAATGTACAAACTGCAGCTAGTGCAAGACTTATGGATACAAGCAGAGGAGGGAGTATTAAAATAACTGCACGAGTCAGCAACTGTTTCACCAGTTGTCTGCTTCAAAAACTAAAATGATGAACTGACAGTTTCCACATAATCAGTCTACTCCCGACTCGGAAGAAACTTCTCCGTTTGTTGCAAGGGCGGAATGGAAAGCACTCTTTCTGTGTGCTTTCTATTTATAGGGCAGTCGTCTCCTCTGTTGCTCAGAATAACAGTCAGTCAAAATCTGTCATATAACCCTGTCCCTAGATCAAAGTGGTGAACATCTGAAATCACCCACGGTGTCCCAGAACTGAGCAGCTTTCCCAAAATAGCAGTCAGAGCACCACGAGCAGCATCGCTCCTTTAGACTGACTGCAGCAGTGTGTTTCTAGGACAGACTGCCATGTGCAGCAGGCCTTGGGGAGCTGCAACCCCAACAGGCTCTCTGTCCTGGCATACACTGACAGACACTGTCAGACTCAGAAGTAGGAATGATAAGAGAGTTTGGCTTATCTTATATTTGCATGCATGTGCACATAGCTGTTTAAAGTTTGCTGACCAACCAAACAAGGAG